AAAAAAAAAAATATTTATAACTAAGAGTCAATTTTATTTACAATGAGTATATCAATTTGATTTCAGAACACATTGTACGATAGATTCACAGCGTTAATGTGCATTTGTGAACGCACTGCCGGAATCCATTTTTCTATCTTTGTTACATCAAAAATTTCGTCTATCTGAGGCTATTCGTTTGGTTGAAATTCGTGTAAACATTCTTCACGCGAGATTACGTTGCGGTCACGATTATTGGGATCAGTAGATCATTGACAATAGTCGGGTGAGGACGAACAATGGCCGCTGCAGGAAGCACGAGTGCCGGTACAATTTTGCAGAAACTTGGCTTGAAACCGATTACGAAATGTAGCCTCGTCAAATTTTACGCTCCTGCTTTCGGTGTCGCCTCGTACACCGCGTTGTCTATTAACGTAATGAATCCGAGCCTTGTCATCAGGTAAGAACCTACAAATCCATCCTGCCTTCAAATGTTAACCTCTACTGCTTTCCACTGAATTATAGGGTTTCATAATTCTTGGAATGTTATGTAATCTTTAAAGACAAAATGCTGTATGATACATTTTTTTCGATTTATTTGAAACTTTGAGACTGGAATGCTTGTTGTCAAACGAAGTCGTCATTTAAATATAAATGACCTATTTTACCTTATTCGATCGACAAGTTGTACTTGACGTATATAATGGTTCATGCAATTTATTGTTTTTCATTCTTTTTATGAATATAATTTTAATTAGCTAGTAATTTGTTTTATCCATCGAATATTGTAATAAACAAAATCACAATCAATTGCGACAATCATTTTTTATTATTTTATTTATTAAATTATTTATCCCTTTTCTTTTTTTTTTGTATTTCTAGGGTATTCCCGAAGAAAGATATTACAAATTTCTTATTGGGAAGTGCTCTTCTTGGCACTGGTTCTTACATATACACCCGTGATCACTTGAAAACTGCTCCCACATGTGTAAAAATTTTGTACAGGTAGGACATTATTATTTTAATATATTTCTATTTATATTTTATTTTGTTGAAGATATTAATAAATTCATTTATATGTTTTATAGTACTGCTGGCGCTATATTGCTGAGCTTTGGATCAGTTTTAGTATGGGCAGTACTTCGATCTGTTGTACCACCTAATCCAACTCTATGTACAGTAATTGGCATCAGTTCTGGGCTTGCATTCATCAAAGTTGGTTCCAGTTATCTAAACTTTGTTGATGAACAGATACCAAAGAAGTAGATTAAACGGAGTTTTATAATTCACGTATGATCAGTATGTATTAAACGCGTCTAAAGAAAAAAATTTGCAATAACATAACAAAATAGAATTGATGACAAAGATAGAAGATGTAACGTTAAGCAAAGAATTCTTGAAACTTCATAAATTTTTATACTTTCTATGATCTTTGCTCTATAAATATCGGAAGATAACAAGGAAAATTCTGTTGAGAATAACCACGAATTACTTTTATTTTGTGTTTGTTAATTATTTGCAAGTTCTGACGATTACCAGAAGGACATGTAAAGCAAAAATCTAAATATTGTTATCGTATTTTGCATGAAATGTGTAAATGATGAAAAACTGATTCCATAAAATGCAAAATATACCTTACATTTTTTAATGTATGAAATTATAATTTATATTTTAAAAATTAAAAAAATAGGGAAAAAAGTGGAAGAAGAATTTTGTCACAATTTAAAATGTTTTTGTAACACGAACACATTTTTCAAAGTATATACCATCATCATCCAAGTAATTGATTAGCAGTAGTGGTAGAATTGTGCACATTTCTTCAGCAGTTTTAATAAATGTTAAAAAAAATTTAAAGGTTTTATGTTACAATAGATTATATAATATTTGGAATCAGTGCAAGCATTAATAAATAAAAGATACATTATTGAGAATTAATTTTAAACCAGAACAAACTGTGTGTAATTAGCAAAAACATACATGTGTGCACCATAACAGAAGATTGTATTACTTGTACAATAAATTCTGTTACAAATCTAAATTGGCACAATTCGTTAATATATTTATTTATTAGAGAAGGAAAAATTTTTGCACTTTGTTGCCAAAGTTGTTTTTATTTATTAATAAATTTTGCTATATACAAATAGATTTATATGACAATGTATGTAGGTCTTATTTGTCAAAAAATAACTTTATGTACAAATATGTTCATACACTAGCATTTATGCTATACTATGTGAGTTATGATAATAAATAATAAAAATCAATCAACAATAGCTATTAAAAATACACACAAATTCGAATAGTTTCTATTTTATAATCATTGTCACAATCTTAATTGTACTATAAGAACTTATGTACTACTTGTCTCGTTTAGAATTTAAAATACCCTATGGAGAATTTTGACTGGTACAATTAATTATCTAATATTTTGTTTTATGTGTTTTTTTCAATTTATTGTCTCGTGTACATATTAGGAAAAATATGACTTATGTTTAAAAATTGATTCTTTGGTTTAAGAAAAGTGATATTTTTGTATATTACATAAAATATATTTATAAATAGCAGTGTACCTGTTTCACACTGATTTGTGAAAGAAATGAATAAGATACATGATGTCCCAATAATTTATAGGATACAATATTTTTATATTTTAATGCTGCAAATCTTTGTATCAATGATAATATATTATCATTCCTAATGACACGTGTCGTAAATAATTACGTAGAAAAAAAAAGTATTAATAAATACAAAAATTGTAAATACTTAAAATCATGAAAACTGTTTAACTGATTAAAGTTATCACTTTCGAAAGTAAAGAATCGATATTCGACAGTAGTAAAATATATCCCATTTCATTACAATGTCATACAATATGCACATGATATGAGCAAGTTGTTAAATGTTCATATAAACGATTAAGAAATAGTCCTATTTTCCTAATCTAAATAATATAAAAGATAGTGTTTCATATGGATATTCCATACGTTAAAAGAAAAGGAGTAAGTAACGCGATTACGTGTTTATACCCGTGAATCGTATCACATTTGACCATTAAATGACAATGTATGTTGATATTTTCTTATTATTTTAAATTTGGTTTCTACCGTACCTTCCGTAAATATCACCATTTATCATTTACCTTTTGTACAATTGATGACATTTGTACAATACGCGTAGAGCAAAAGTATTGTTCTTCTCTTCCAAATTCAAACCTCAGTTCCATAATACTGCCCTCCATCGAGATTTCTCTTACTCGTTTAACTTATTACATCGTCCTGAAATAATCCATCAATTCCAAACAGCACGGTTGACATATCGGAAGTCATTTCCGTAAAGAATAGTATTTTTCTCGTAAAAAGGAAACTGTATACTCACTATTTCACAGTCAGTCGAAGGATTCCCCGTCGCAAATGAATTTTAGCTTCGATTCGTGTGCAATGCCGTTTCGTTACTACTGCTTCTGAAGGGAGTGTCAGTTGATGTTTTCATCGTGGAGGATAGGACGTTGCTGACAGTCTCTGCGATACTTTCCGTTACTCTGTAGATTTTATCGGTGAGTATTCGTTCGCTCATTTCGTTTGAGTAGATGTGTTCGTGAGAGTCCAACTCGTGATTGTGATCATTTTCCTGATGGTGATCAACCTCGTGGCCATGCACGTGTGCGTGTCCATCGTGTGAATGCGAGTGCGAATGGGAATGGGAATGAGAATGTGCGGCTGTAAAATAAAACAGAAACCATTCATTGTTTTCTTTAAACAATTTAATCTGTTAGCAGCTTTTATTTTAAGAAATTTCATTTGCTTCAGACAGATTATAGGTTCTAGAAATTCGATAAGTGCAATGTTATCGTCTGCAAGTGAAACAGATTAGAAAGCACTTTATATTTAAATAATCGATATGTATTTTATTGTTAAGGTAAGGCAAAGCCCACAGTAAGTAGATAAAGTCTAATCTGTAATTTGAAATCAATCTACAGTCATAAAGATAACGTCCGTCTTTTATAGAAAAATGATACTATAAAAGATTTTTTACCATTTCTTATATTGTATAATGTCCACATCTTCTGTGATAAAACTAACTGATAAATGCGTAATAATTTCTTCGTTTTCTACGAATTTTTAATTACAGATCCACAAGCGAGAAAGCGGTCGAAAGTCGGTCGAATTGCCATGAATGGAGAAAGCATGGCTGGTTTTTAAAATTATTTCTTCTCTTTCATTTTGAACGTTATGCAATTCTTCGAACCCGTGACTAATCGTAACAATTTTATTTCCACTGATAAGACGTACAGAAAAAAATTTTAAAGCGTTAAATTTAAATTTTAAGCAAATATCAACTGTTGAAAAATTTTGAAGTTAAACAAATATCAATTGCATTATTTACGTATAAATATATCATTTACAATCATTTCATTAAGTACAATTAAGTACTAAAGCACTAACAATAATAAAGTATTAATGTATTACAAAAAAGAAAGGAAAATATCATTCATAGTGAGAAAATGAAAAGGTAAATTTAACCAGATTAATGAACGTTAATATTAAGCTGTTAATGATTATTAACCTCATTTATATATATAGATATACTTCCTGAATCTGCTCCTGAATCAAAGAGTATAACCTGTGTTGTTTACTTATATCATCATCGCTGATTGTGAGATCAAATTGCATGATCAAATGCAATAATGAGTGATATTTAAATATAGATATATATAAATATAGATATAAGTAGTTATGTATATAATTATATACATTACATATGTATGTAATTATATATAAATATATGTAGAAAGAATGTAATTATGTATAAATATATGTATTTTTACAGTAAAAAAATTATGAATTCCTTGCAGATCTGGAGCTTACACCTCTTAAGTATATAACTTGGACAAATGCTATAAACGTTCCATACATACTAGTAAACACTTGTGGTTAACTAAGATGAAAATTATGTACCATGGAATTATAATAATTCTAACGTTCCTTCACAAATGGTGAAATAAAAAGTTTTTACTTTTTTATAAAACGTACTACTAAGATAGCACAAAAGAAGATCATGGTAACTATACTTCAAACGAGTAAAAGAAAAAACGGCGTAACATTAAACATTTTTACTCGTGTGAACAAAAAATAACTTGTAGAAATATTTTTCATTTCTATGAAAGATATCAGAATAAGATACTCACATTCTTTTTTAAAATTTACATTATTTCATTGAAGATTAAAGATTAATCTTATCAACTGTGTTGTCAAAGCGATGATTTGTTCTTCGACGTTTTCCATAATTTTTCCTATTAGCTTTGCAAAACAATCTATCTTCAAATCGATAGATCCTTGCAAGGTACAAGGCGCGTGCGCGTGCAAGTACACGTGTATAGATGCACGTGTCCGTTACTCGAGTCGGTAATGATATCACGTACTTTTTGTGGATTAATAGGTTAATACGTTAATAGGTACATCCGAGTTTTATCTATGGTTTTATTCGTCATGAGAAATTGTCGCGGCAGACAACGTTGCCTCGAAGCAGGAGTTTAGCACATTTGCTCGTCGTCGTTATCAGAGTCATTAACCCAATTGCAATCGAAAGCTACTGTTAAGGGTATCGCCTTGTCTGACGGAAAAAATAAAAGCAAATAATAGCTAAGCAAACAAATACTATATATATATATACTATATATATAATTAATAGTATTACTTATAATATTATTACTATATACTATAAGTAGTATTATTTGTAATATTACTTATAGTATATAGTAATAATATTATAATTAAAAATAAATAGTATATAATACTTTCCATATATCTAT